AGGCGTTCGATCAGTGTTCCTTTTAGGCGAGTGTAGGGCGTTTCTGTGGGAACGTTCAAAAGAAGGTCTTCCACTTCTGCGGCGGCCTTGACGTCAAGGTGTGAGGAAGCGTAGTGGTATTGCGTAATTTCATCGAAAATTCCGGCGAGATGAAATTGTCCCTCGAGTTGGGCGAACCACAAGGCTGGTCGTTCGGAATGGAAGAGCGGACATCGTATAGAAACACGTTGGAGTRGCGTTATACTGTCTGCCACTTGCACGGTTGCGCTATCTGGCATAGCGATTTAGCTGGAATACTCCTGTCGTTCTGCAGTCGGTTGTATGCGTGGCAGCCAGATGAGCACAAAAACCAATACACAAAGTGCACTGTAGTGTTTGCGTAGTTTAAATAAATAACGAGGTGCACTGTAGCCGAAATAGTTAGCGATTTTAAAATTATATTAATGAATCGCGGTATAACTATCGATCACGTCGGGGTCACCAGTTGTGGTGGTTATTGTGCTGTGGTTACTCGATGTGCATGCGATGGCTGTCAGCAGAAGAAGAGAGTTGATCGTATGATGTGTAGTCCTATATAGTAATAACCGCGGGCGTCTTCAAGCCTAGCGGTTACCTATGTATTCCTTGTTTCGTTTTGTGTTGTATTCATTTCAGCGTTTCTTGTAAGCCAGGCGCAGCTAACTTGCTGACATGGTGTTACCATGTTGTATTAAACGTTTAAATATAATATAATATATTGTGGCTCGTCCCACAATGAATTGCCCACAAATATGCTAAAGACCGGGGGCCCGTATAGTTGATACGGCAAATACGGCGGTAGCTACGCCCCTGGTCTAATAATAGTAAGAGAGACAGAACAAGAGCATGAGCAAAAGTAAATGAAATTAAAAAAAGGAAACCAAAAATGAAAGCAGGGAAATAAATTACAAATATTTATAAAAGCAAGAATAAATCAGAACAGCAAACAGCACCATAAACATCAACACCAGCAACAGCAGCTTTGAAGAAGATGCAGAGAAGTAATGTAAGATTAAATCAAATATTGGAACATATTATTTATTATATTGTATATGTATATATAATAAAGACAAAAACCCAGTGATTCTAAAATTGTAGAAAGTGAAGTAAATCTCAAAATTATAGGAGCAAGTCTTTGATATCTCTTGTATGTAGTCCCAGTGAATGTAAAGTTTTAGGAATAAGATACATACTGAAATTTCCATAAATAAAATAAAAGGATGGTTTAAATGTAAAAACAAAATGTTCCACAAAAAATAAAAACGTGAAAATAAGTAAAATTAATTATATTATAATTAAACTGAAGTCCTCGAAAAAGAAAATAAATCAATTTAAATAAAATGGCTCATAATAATAGGACTTAAGAATATTGTGAAGTACCAATTACACAATTGTTAGAATTAAATTCAAATTAAACCAAACATTACAGTACAAAGTCCTTGTTCTACGGAATTTAATTATGAAAAAATGCTATGATTAGATGTCTATTGTTGAATTTCGACAAGCCATAGGACTTGTTATTAGGAAATGATTTTATTTTAAAAAACTTTTAAAAAATGGATCCCTTTCCATATGAAAACTGTTCAGGAACCGGTTTATTCATTGAAAGTGAGTGACCAAAAAAATATTGCACTTGATCTGAAATCAGATAAAAAAGCAACATTGAAATTCTATTAAACTGATTCTACAAATTATTTTACAAACAGGGCGATAACCTCACCAATACAAAAACTGTGGTACATGAGATTAAGACCACAACCAACCAGCAGATAAATTCAAGAATCTGTAGACTACCTTCAAAACACGAAGAAGAGGTAAGAAAGCTACTTTATGAGTTGGAAAGTGAGGGAATAATACGAAAAAGTAGGAGCAGGTATAGCTCACCTATTTTAATTGTACCAAAGAAAACGGAGGCTTGAAATATTCAAAAATATTGACTGTGCATGATAAATATTCTCTGCCAAATATTGATGGGATTTTGGATAAATTGGGCAAAGCGCAGTAATTTGGGAGCATTTATTTAGCCAAAGGTTAGCACTAATTACACTAGTTTACTACAGTAGTGAACTTTTTGTGTGTTGCCGCGAATTCTGCGATTGATATTGTTCATTTATTATTTGTTTTTGTCAAATCTACCCTCAAAATTTTTTGACTAGCTCGAGT